TTACTACGGATATGTCGGTGTGATTTGTTGGATACATGTACCCACGAATGCGTAATTCCGCGGCCGTGATACGACGGTGCAGACGGTCTACTGGCCTGTCCCCTGTTCCTTTTTTGTTGACTCCGTCGATTCCGTTCCCTGTACAAATCGCAGTACGTGTTATGCAGTCGTGATGTTCCCATTGGGTTACGGAGCGGGTTGTGGCGCCAGTTCGAGGCTAGCAGGTGAGGGCTGGCAGAGTCACAAATGAGCTGCGGGTGATTTACACCTATCTTGCCGGGTTTCCGGGTAATCTATAGAGGCGCAGTAATCAATTGGAGGAGGAGGGGACGGATATATGTAGTTATGAGTACGAGTACAAGGAGTGGACGGGAGTGGCTGAAAAAAGCGACCAGGTGCTCTTGCACGCTTCCTTTTTTTTTTTTTTTGGGGTTTTTTTTTTTTTTTGCTGACGCTTCAGTGTAAAAGTGCTCGGCAATGGTACGTTGATAGTCACTGTAATATATTATTGGTGACCGTCGTTTTCCCCCCTGCGGGAACGCGAAGTAATAACTCGCAGCTGCGCGAGACACGTGACATGGCTGGTAGCAGTATGGAATCTCGGTGAATATTGGTACCGTAGGTCCGCCATGTAATAGATTAGAGCTACGGGTGAACGAGCAAGCGCGTATCACGGACTTTGCTGATATTCCGTGCCGCTCAAGTACGGAGGGCCCCTACCACCAGACTGGTTGCCTGCTAGTACTGAGTATTACCAAGTATCGCTACTCTGTAGTGGTAGTATCACTACTACTAGTCCGTACGTATCGATACTGATACTCAATCTATGTACATGGAATAATACGGAGCGTCTGACACAGCAGGGGCGTTAAACCACCAGGTAATATCATTCGCCAGAAGAAATATCAGGCAATAATAATTATGTACGTGGTGTTGATTATCATCAGGGAGTGAGACATATGAGTCCTCGTAGACTGTACGGATCAGTAGCATCGGTACCCCCTTCGGAGGGGAAGGGGCAGCCTTCCAGGAAGCTCCACCGCAACAAGCCCGTAGCTTCGCTCCCCTGAAGTCTGAGAAATAGGCAGCCGAGACCCAGCACCACGGACCTGCCGATTAGACTCTTTCCTAGGGTTCCAGGCTGTCGCTGTACCGGGGGGTAGGTATGACTATCACTGCAGCATTGCTACATGCACTCTCAACGCTCTCATCCCACTGCTCTGTATATCGTTCCACTTCCACCATCTCAACACGTCCCTTGCTCTCGGGCTCCCTCCATCTCCCTCAGCCTCCTTCTTCTCTCTCCCCTTCCTTCGCGCCGTCTTCTCCTCTCCCTACTGTCCGAGATCCTTGGCCGAGGAGGGTGTTTCCAGAGAGGAGGATGGGGTCAGAGACGGATGGTAAGTCGAGGCTATTAATAAATACCCAGTATCATCATACCCAGTACCCGTACAACCCCCTAGAAACAGACCAAAGAAAGTTGCGCATAAGCTTCGTTTCGGGCATGGGGATTCTGTCAGGGTGTCTCCGTGCCCGTCGAAAGCACTGACTTTGCAGAGTCTGCTACCCGATCAACGGGACCCAGAATTACGCCGTGTTGATTGATAACTTTGGCGTCTATTACGGATACTGTCCGTGCTCTTTCTTTCTATTGGTACGACGACTCGTCTAGGAGGCAAAGCCGGAAGACCTCGGCTATTTTTTCCCTCCCTCCCTCTCCCTCCTTCTTCTTCTCCTGTCCTTCCACCATGTCCCATCCGTCCGGGTGGATGGTAACTGCCGCCACTCCACAGCACCCCCCCCCCCCCCCAAACGCCATCATCACACCACTGTCAAGATGGTAGCTGCAGAATTGCTTATTTGCTTCCGTCACCACCACCACAAGACCAGAGGAAGAAGAAAACAGCAACGTCCTTGCTCTTCGTGTCGATACGCATACTTGGCACACTTGGCAATACTACGCTGCCGTTTTTCCTGTAATGATACTCCGTCGCGCGTTGTATCGCCCAGAGCTCCGCGTACGCCGAACCCCCTGCCCCTTCTCCCCTAACTGGGGATCGTCATCTCCCTTCGAGAAGATACTGTTCACACGAGTAGGTCGGGACGAGCATCATAGGCCAGCCTGTCCCACATCGCCATTAGGCCCGACTCGCTTCGCCCCAATTGCTCTCTGTCTTCCCTCGTTATGCTGTCGAGATTGAGATTTGAGTAGAAGCTTGGGCCAGGAGTTATTACCTGGGAGGGCCGATATAGGAGTTTCAATCCTATCATGCTGATACTCTAGGTATCAGTGGTACTGTATTACCGTAGCAGCAGTCGTAATCGTACTGATCATTACCACTCCGTACAAGATAGATTACTCTGTACGGGGCAGACTTGTTGTCATTGAAACTAGTCGATACAGTTGACGCGTCGCAGTCAAGTGGCCTTGATGTCCTCGACGCGAATTAAAAAAAAAAAAACTAAAAAAAACTACTATTGATACTATTATTACTACTCCGTAACACTGTACACAGAATACACCGTACACTGTGTATCGTACACAGAACAGTACTCTCACAAAGCCCCTAAGTCAAGCCATTTCTGAATTCAGACCAGCTCAGCCCAGAGATCGTCGCCTTGGTACTCGACCATTATTCTGTGCGACCTTGGATGCATCACCCTCCCCCCC